CGCTACACATGATGCAGACCATCTGCCTGTGGACTGGCTCAGTTTGCAAATGCGGGGGGGGGTGGTGGCCCCCCATTAAAGAAGAGAACCAGGGACCCAGAGCCATGTTTGAATAAGCACTGAGACAGACACATACACGCTAAGGTTTATTCGATTTAATAGTGCATTTCATATTGAAAATTGGTCATGGAAAAAAGATAAATTTCATCTCTAGAATAACATTTGCAATGGAAAAAGTACAAAAATGAGGTATAAATATATGTAAATATATTTTAAATTAATTAATGTCATGCGTGGTGATTCTGGTTCAGTACAAACGTTAGACCACACAGATTAGTTGTGTTCAAGCGAGCAGCATCTCACCCAGGGGGAGGTCTACTTCATGTTAAGTGACTCAGGCCGCAGAACAATCCGGAACACCGCACACATCCACGTTTACAGTAAAACCTGTAGAAATCCCTCCTTTATAAAAGGAGCCCTTCCTCACCTTTAAATACTTTTATCTTCTTTTTACATTAGCCTCCGCAGAGGCCCCCTAAGCACCCTTTAGTCGGCAGTAACACGCACGGCTCTCGTCCAGCGGCCCAGGCCGTCACAGCTCTGGGACCTGCTTTAAAAGTCTCACCCACGTATTGCGGTCCCTGCAGGTCTGTCTCCACAAGCCTCCACTTAACTGTTCTCCCCTCTCTCGGACAATCCTAACTGTCCTCCTCCTCCCGCAGCCTGTCCTCCTGCTTCTCCACCTCCTCAGACTCTCATCCTCTCCCCCTCCTCCCTCAGCACCATGGGAATACAGACATCCTAGCTTCCACTCTTGCACTCGTTTCTCAGAAGCAGCATAAGCCCCTGCAGGGGAGGAGCCTGTAGTCCCCCCTCCCCAGTGGGGGAGGAGCCTGCAGAACCACTATGCCCCTCCCCCTCCACCCACCAGAAAGCAGGCTGAGGTCCAGGTCAGCCAGGGCCCCTTCTGTGTCTATTTGTTCAGGGCCCCGGTGAAGGAATCCCGGATATGCGCCACTTTCGAGGCACAGCGGTGTCCAAACACCTTGTTGTACCACTCAGGGAAGTGCCCTCTAGAGGTGAAAGAGAGAACAACATGAGCTTTTAACTACAGCTCTCAGAAAGAACCAGAAAGGCGGCTCGAGGTGTCACGGGGCCCCCGCCTCCCTCACCTGCAGTCCATCCTGCTCAGGTAGGTGAGCCGGGTTTGGCCAGACCCACAGGGCTCCATGAAGTAGCGAGACACCAGCACATTGGCCCGCACTCCCCGCAGTGCCACCCCTGGGTGGTCTACGGAGGCGCACGCCAGAGCGCAGGCACCCCTGGGGAGGTCCGTCACCCACGTCCTGTTTCAAACACACGCAGGGCATGTGACCAGCTGCCAGTTAAATGCAGCTTCACCAGCACAGCAACAGCAACTCTGGTCAACCTGGTGTCATTTTAGTGTATGATCCAGACTATTATCTGTTTACACTGAACCCTCCCGGTCCAGATGTCCGCTTACCTGAGCACCACGTGGTCACGGGGGGGCCGCGGCGCCATGCTATCCTGCACATACTGGTAGAGCTCGGTCCGCGAGTCCAACACCTCCAGCACCCGACTCTCCAGCAGGTCCTCGTCCCAGAGATGGCGCTCCCGCAGGAGGCGGGTCAGCACCTCCTCGGGCGTCGCCAGCACCTCTGTACTCGCCTTCCAGAGACGCAGGGGGAAGTCGTCCTGAACCTGGGGGCCCGGGTGGGGTGGTCAGTGTTGGGGTGAAGGACCCACTTCCATAAAAGTTCAAACCGGAAGCTTCTAGATAAACAGGACGCTGGTCCGGAATTGTGCAAGACACTCATGCGCCAACACTGTAACACTCCGGAACTGGGACACAAAGCATTCGTGGTTGGATTTAGGAGAAGGAGGGTGGAGGGCTCTGTAGGGAAGTGTGAGAAAGGGAGGGGGCCAGGCCAAGAGGAAACGCTGCACATAGTGGGACACACCTTCTTGTAAGCCAGTGCCACCTGCTGTTCGGGGGTGAAACAGCTATCATAGCCACGGAACTTGTCCTTGGCTTCTCTGAGGAGGTTGTCCAGGGCGTCGCGTAGGTACAGCCCCTCTGCGCTTTCTTCCAGGTCATCCAGACCAGCAGGGGGCAGACCCTGCTCTTTGTATGAGTCCCACCAGAAGCCTTTCTCCTCTGGGATCTGCAACATAAGCGTTATAAAATATGGTTGATCTCAGAAACTAGAAAAAAAAATAGCCAAATGAGACCTTTCTGCTTAGTTTCCTTAAACAGCGCATGATGTCATTAACGGAACAGGCTGATTCATCTTAACCAGTCAGAATGAAACAATTTGGCTTGAATTGATTCTTTGTTCATGGAGGGAGCGGTTACTGACTGCAGGGGAGGCTGGCGATGGCTCTGACTGGGGGTTTATTCACAGGAACCATCCCAGGAAAGGTGCTGCCCACAGGCAGACAGGGTCATGAAATCACCCAGAAAGCCCCCTGAGTTTCCATCTGATCTGCGCTGGCTTCACGCGTGTAACAGTGGATTTAACGGAAAAACGTGTCCACGTTGTTCCGTCCCCCGTCATTTCCTAGGCAACCACACACACCTGGAAGAGCCTCCGGCACTCGGAGATCATGTGGGCCAGGCCCCGCGTGGCTGCCTGGTTCTCCTTCAGGTCCCTCTGGTCCGGCTTGCCCAGGTTCTGTTTGCGGTGCATCACCCTGTGGGAACCAGACGTGGTCTGTCACAATGACTGCAGGCAGAACCGACTGAGTCGGAACCTGCACACAGGGAATCTGAGCTGGTGCTGGAGCAGATCCTGGGCACTTGTGCCCGGCGGGCCCCACCCAGCACGGTGGTAACCGAGCAACAGCCACCCCCCTACCAACCTGCGTAATGGTGCCACACTCTGAGGGAGCATAATACGTAAATTTGCTCAGGAGTGGTGCGAGGGACACTTACAGCCACAAGGGGGCGTTAGGAACCAGACTAATGCTGGGGGAGGGGCCTGTACCTAGGGGAGGGGCCTGTGCCTAGGGGAGGGGCCTGTACCTAGGGGAGGAGCTGTCCCGCCGCGAGGCGCTGAGGTGGAAGAGCGATGGCGCCAGGCACACGGCCAGGTTGGTGCACGTCATCTGGTTCTGGGGGGCGGCGGCGGCCACATCGCTGAGGAAGCAGAGCAGCGCCTCCAGCGCCTGCCGGTTCTCGTCGGGCAAAAGTAGAGTGGCGGCTCTGGCGGCCTGCAGCTGCTGCTCTCTGGGGACGCCTGGGGGGGCGGGGTAATGTTAGGGCGTTGCGGCAAGGCGGTGTGAAACACCAATCAGGAATGCAAAGCTTTCGCGAAAGGAAGGAAAAACAAGCGAATGACTGAATGCGAGCCACCACGTCGGGGGACTGGCATTTCCTGCCCCGCACCGCGCCCCCCCACCCCCACAGGCGCCACAACGACGCAGACTCACACTGGTAAATCTGCAGGAAGGTCTCAGACAGCTTGCTAGTGAGCAGGGGCTCCGGAAGGTCCCGGAAGTACTGCTTCAGCATGTCGGCCACGTCGTAGGCAGACTGGCCCTCGTAGTTCACCCCGTCGGGGCTCACCTCGTTCATCTCCCTCAGCGCCTGGATCCGCGACTTCACGCCAGACTTCCTGAACAGGCCCACCTATAGGGGGCGATGGGGAGCATCAGGCAGATGCCAGCCAGTGGGCAGTGGGGGCAGGACCAAGACGCAGGGGGTGGTGGCAGCGGATCCAAGAGCAGTGGGGCCAGGAGGGGGCGTCGGTGGGGAGGAGGGGGCGTCGGTGGGGAGGAGGGGGCAGGGTCTCACCTGGTCCAGGCATTGGCTGCGCAGGAAGCGCATGGCCTGCTGGATACCCAAGGGGAGGGGCTGTCCCGTGCGGCACACGTTGGTCTGCAGTGGCACACCGAACACGCCGTGGCCACGCTGCTCCCGAGTGCGGCTCCTCTTCATGAACTTGGGCACAGCCCTGTGGGGGACAGGCGGCCAATTAATCCCACCACATCCCACAGAGGATGCCTCATATCACCATCTGATGGTGACAACAGCACCTCCTGGAGGACCCATAATGCCACCATTTGCAAACAAACACTCCCAGTGTTCATCTCTGGTGGCAGCCCTCATGGGGGTGCTACCCACACACCATGCTGAAGGCCAGCAACCCCCCCAAACCAGGGTAACAAGGGCTAAATATGCCGACGAGACCTCCACACTTAGAAGGGCCTGTCGCTGGCTGGGGGGTGATCATAGAAAGGCAGAAATGATCAGCCGTATGTGTTCACAAACCCTGTCAGAGTAAAACACTCAACCGCAAACGTCCTGTGGCCAGCAGGGGGTGCAGCAGCTAACAGTCAGTAGGTGATTAAGGCCTGTCAGGATGGCAGCATGGCAATGAGCGGGACCAACTAACCAGCTGAAGGCATGTTTGTTGGCTGGCGTGTGCTTCTCCAGCAGGGCCGTGAGCTTCAGCAGGGAGAACTTCTGCAGCAGGTTCATCTGCAGCACAGACTGGGTACTGAGCTGCCGGGGGGCCGAGGGCAGGCTGGCCCGGTGCGAGTCCTGGAAGCTGGGCCAGCGCAGCTTGGGGGGCCTGGAGCCGGGGGGTTGGGTAGAGGTCAGAGTGCTTGCGAAATCACACCTGGAGCGGTCGGTGAAAATGCCCCGACAACCCCAATCGTGAATGCGGTCTGCCTGTTAGTGTGACCCCCCTCCCACCGCGGGTTTGAGTGTGAGCAGAGCAAGCAGCCCTTACCTGTTGGTCCTGAGCAGGGAGGGGCCGACCCCGGAGTCCCGGCGCTCCTGTTGGCCCAGCCCAGCGTCGGGATCATTTAATGCATTGTCCAGATCAGAGCCATTCTCCGCCTCCTCCAGGTGGCTCTGCAGTGGAGATGAGGGGCAGGGCGACGCCGAGTCCAGGGCGGAATCCGAGTCGCCCTCCTCGCTGGCACGCCCCCCCCGCCCTACCCACGCCTCGCCAAAACCGCGTAGGACGTTGCTCAGCTTGTAAGCCAGAGACTCCTCCTCCGCCAGTGGCACGTTGTCATAGAAACTAAGCCGGCTGTCCAGGGAGCCATGACTGTGGGCGGGGCCCCGCGAAACATTACTGCCACTGGATCTGCGCCCATTGCAGAGCATCTTTGGGAAGGTGCCAGGTTTGTGCCCATCGGGGACGAAGAAGAACATAGCGTCTTCCTCATCCTCCTCGTCCTCGCATGCCATTTCTATGCAATTGCGTTGGTTGTGCTCAGCTACACCCCCAGCCTGAGGCTCCAGGAAGCTGAACAAGTCGAACCCCTCCAGGTACACGCCAGCGCGCTTGGCGGCGCTGTGGCTGCGGCTGCGGCTAACAGGGCTGGGCGTGCTGACGGCACTGCTGCCCCCACTAGGCTCCGAGCCCGAGGCGGCGCGTTCCCGCAGCACGGACACGTCCACGCAGTGCAGCCGTCTCAGCCAGTCCTCGTCCGGGCCTTGCCGCAGCACCGGCGCGCTAATCTCCAGCCCGCCGGCCCCTGTGGACGGCTTCTTGCGGCGCCGGGATGCCGGTCCCCGCAGCCCCAGGTTTTCCATGCGCCGCAGCAGGCTACGCGCTTTGGAGCGTGCGCTTTTGGTCATGCTCCTGGATGGGGCGTCAAAGAGGAAGTCGCCTGGGGAGGGGGGCGAGGGTGAGGGCGAGGGGGGGCCCTCTGAAGGAGAGTCCTCTGTGGCCGCAGAGGTCCCTGAGGAACAGACGCTGGCCAGCGAGCCAGCACGGGTGGTGCCGCTGCTAGCGGGGATGGGGGAGTGTGGCCCACCGCGGGGGGGCCAGCCTGGGTCTGTCAGCAGGCTCTCGGCGCTGCCCCGGGACCTTTCCCCACTGGGCTCAAACACGTCCGGCTCCTCCAACCGAGACCAGCGCTTGCTGGCTCTCTGGAATGTCCAGCGACCACTGATGGCACATGGCTCATCATCGTCGGAATCCTCGCTCTGGGGGGGCAGAGGGAAAGGGGGGGGGGGCGTAAGAAATGTGGGGAGAGATAGCAGGAGTTCAGGGGTGACTGATGGCTTGTTCTTCATGGCCAGCAGGTTCTGTGATTGCATCTTCAGCTTTGGTTCAGTAAAGTAATATGGTTGCCTAGGATGTGGGGACTCTTGCCCCCTCTTAACCCCTACAGATGGGTCTGATTTTCCCTCTCCCTTGGTTCAGGTTTGCAGCTCAAGGCTATCACCTGTTGGTACCTGCTGTTTCGAAAGCCCCAGAGGCCCTTGGGCCCCAAAGCCACCGGTCACCATGGTGACACAAACCTGCGTAAGCAGCGGGGGCAGAGAGATGCCGCTCGCAGGCACTCCAGACACAGGGAAGTCGCAGGTCAGCCCGGCATGACGCTAATCGCAGCGCAGCGACATTAAGTGAAACCCGAGTGGGTGGAGAGGACAGGAGAGGTGGGACAGCAGGAGGGGCGGATGGGGCAGATGGAGAGGATCACTTACTTGCTTCCTCTGAGAGGGGATCTCAAGCCTCAACACGGTGCACTTGTTCAGGGTGTTGAGGCGCCTGCGGTCCGACAAACAGACAGAGACACAGAGGGGCAGTTAAAGTGGCATCGGGGCCTTGGCTCTGGACAGGGAGCCACCCTGACAGCGGGTGGTGACCCCCCCCCCCCCCCCCCCGGCTGGGAATCCGGAGATCGGGGGGGGGGCATTAAGAGAGAGACAGCCGGCACACAAAAAAAAAACAAACGAAAGAAGTCAAAAGATGTCTCATCCCCCCTCCCCCAGTCATCTCATCCCAGCACTAATGCACCCCAGATGCTGACTGTCACCCGGGTCAATCTGCACCTTCAGCCAGCTGTGACTCCCCCCATCCCCCCGGCGCTATGAGGACCTCACCTGCACAGGGCTTCGATGGCGTCCCGGTCCAGGAAGTCGTGATCACAGGTGACGGAGGAGGTGTTGATGGGGAACTGGCCATCTGTGGGGGGTGGAGGGGGCTGATGTGAGCCATGAGAAGGCATACATACAGAGGCATCTGACAGTCCTGATCCCCTGAAGGAATGCAGAACACCCCTGAAGGGGGCGCTGCACCCTGTCTGTGATGAAATGGCGGAGGAAGAAAATCTGAAGCCGGCAAACATGCACGACTTCTCTGGAACCAAGTGGAACCGCGCAGGAACCCTACTGTAATTACAGCTGGTCAGGGTGGGGAGACTAGATTCACTCGCGCTCCCTGTCTGTAAGCCTGTGAGTGTGTGTGCCTCTCACCTTCGTAGACCTGGGCATACTGTGGGAAGCCTGCTGCCCTCAGCCAGGCACACGCCTCCTTGGCCTCGGCCTCTGCGGGGAGGAACAGGAACAGGAAGCAGGAAGTCAGGAAGTGTCAGAAGTGAGAGCCGTCCTCTCAAGAGCGAGCAGAACACCTCGCGGGGGCCACCGGGCAGCCGAACTGCATCTGGACCAGGCAGAGGACCCGATGGCACCCCCACCCTGGCCTGTAACTCCCCAGTGGGCCGGGCTGGAAGATCTCCAGCCAGGTCTAAACGGCCAGGGATACCGTGCACAGTAACAGTGCGTATCACAGCTTCCAGAAGAGGAAGACGTCAGTCCGAATGGGGATATAATAAAAGGGACCAAAAGCCCCCCAACTCAAAGCAGATGAGGGCTTCCTGTTATGGTCGGTGTGAAAGCCATGGGGTAAACATGCACAGCTGGGGGTTTTACTGCTTCTGCTACAAGCATCCAGGGTCCTCCCCCCCCCAGGTGCAGTCAGTCACCGTATGGTCACACAGCCAGCTGTCTCTGCACCAGTGGCACATGTACACAGGGTACGTGCGCACACACACACACACACACACACACACACACACACACACGTATACAGGACACACAGACATACACACACAGGGTGCGTAGCATGGAATACAGATTAAGAGCCCTGCCCCTCATTGTGTGCGTTCAGCGCCCTGCTGATTATCAGGGTGGTGTGTCGCTCACTCTGCCTCCCTGGTTCCAGGATGTTGGGATCCGTCCCGCACGTACGAGTGTGCAGACACTCTGGCTCGGCCGGTGCGGATGGGCTTGTCTGCCCTTCACCGTGGGGCTGCACTGTGGCCTGACCCCCACCCTCCACAGTGGCTTGAGCAGGAAGTACACAGTATTGTAGTGTCCCCCCCCCCACCCACCCACCCAGACGCACCCAGGCCAGAAGGAGACACCTGATAATGAAAGACACACAGACAGACTGACAAGTGCTCACACTCACGCATGCACGCACCCATTCATTTCTGTGGGCATAACCCTAATCCCAGCGATGATGACCTTAACCAAACCAAATACAAGACTATTGGCATTTCCCCTTTGCGGGAACTGAAAAAAAGTCCCTACAAAGTCAGAACAGAAGTTTCTAATCACATTATGGGGACATTTGGTCCCCACAGTACAATATATACATAACCCACACACACAGACACAAAAAGACACCCCGAGACACACACACACCTATGCTCTCTTCATGTTCATTTACGAATCATCAGTGATGCCCCACATGTTAATGAACTCAGGGAAAGTGCCCCATTCACATGGAGATACAGGCTCCCTTGGAGATAGGAGGAGAGAGAGAGGAGAAAGGCAGAAAGAAAAGGAGAGAAAGAGCGAGAGTGACTGCAGGCCTAATTACATCCTGACAATGCATGTGAATTAGGAGAACCCAGGTGGGCTGCTGCCGAATCGGGCCAGAGCTCAGCCCCCCCAAGGCTGGGCTTTGAGCTCACAGCAGTGTCTAAAATTACCCACATCCTGCCCCCGGTCCGGTCCCGTCTGCCCCTTCCTCTTCCTGCCGCAGGAAGTTCTCACAGCAGCTGGACAGGGGCCTGAGCAGAGCCCGTGAGGAGCACTGTGCACTGTGCACTGCTGATTATGCTCACCTCACATCTCAGCTGCTCTGGAAATACATCATAGGGCGGGGAAACTGGGCACTGGCTCCTAGGATAACCAGCCTCTCTCTGCCGGGTTAACCGGGCACTCGCTCCCAGGATAACCAGCCTCTCTCTGCCAGGTTAACCGGGCACTCGTTCCCAGGATAACCAGCTTCTCTCTGCCAGGTTAACCGGGCACTCGCTCCCAGGATAACCAGCCTCTCTCTGCCAGGTTAACCGGGCAGCAGTTCATAGGTGAATCAGCCTCTCTCTCGTAATGGGCCGGCCGCTGCTCTCTCTCTGGATCTACTCTGTACTTCAGCCGCCTCACCACATGTCGTACCTGGAGGGAGCGCCTCCCGCCACCCGGCGAGGTGCGTCATGTGACTCTCGGTGGATCATGTGACTCCATCTGCTAGCGGCTGGCGATCAGACGCTCCACATGTGAGAGATCCCAGATCCCCCGCCTCCCCCAGCCAGATGGGCTCGCTGGGCAGACTGGTACCCTGGAAATCAGGCAGAGTGCTTCCATCTGCATAGCGGTTCGGGTTACACTCCCAGGCACTGATCCAGGATCAGATTACAGCAGCATAATCCTACTCCATGTACAAAACACCATAGTATTGACAACGGGCTTGAGCACAGACACACAGCTGCTTACACCCTCTGTTCTGGGACAGCATCACCACCCACTCAAACAAACCAGTAACTGCATAGGGGTACACTGGTCTTACAGTCGCACCCCTCTACAGACCACTGAGGTCATCTGCAGCCATTTGGCCCGCAACTCCCTTCCTCAATCCCTTTATGTTATAAAGCCGCATTGTTTCAGACATCCTCAAAGGCGGAGCCCCCCTTCCCCCAGCGGGAGATCAAAGGCAGCTCAGGTGTGCAGCGCTGAGCTCAACAGCCATGCCTGGGCACCAAAAGCCGCGCAGCATTTGGGAGAAGCAGCACCCGATCATTTAATAACCTGACCTCAGCGATCCCGCCCGATAAGAATACGGGAATAAAGCGACACGAGCCACAGAACCCTATCCGTCTACACACCGGACTCTGTCCGATTAGCGGGTCCTGGATAACCAGGCGGGATCCAGAAAGCGCCCATCGAAGCCGAGTGGGGGTCCCAGCGAGGGGGTCGGGGGCTCGCGCAGCACCAGCCAGCGACTGTCGCCCCACATATCTGGCGACCCGGGGCGGTGTGCCTCACATGCATAATTAGGATGACATAAGTGCTGTCAAATGCGACGAAGAAGTCGAAATGGGAAACTTCGCGGCATGCAAGCCTGAAAGTGGCCTAAACCCAAACCACACATCTGAATGGTATCACACACGCAGGACTTACGGGTTAAGATCATATCTGGGTTTGACACACGAAGCTTCTTCTCCTGCGGCAGACACCGCGGTCCGCTCAGGCTCAATCCTGGGTTAAAGCCCAGTCCTCCATGCATTCGGCTTCCAGGGGCGGCTGTCGCGATCCGCGTCACATAACGCCCAGCCAGTCTCCCTCCGTCCCCCGCAATAGATCCATGGCTTTCGTGTTTCTCGCCGCGTATTAAACCGATAAGAACACTGTACTTGCGTCCCGGCAGCTCACAAGCGGAATGTGAATGAAACCCTAGGCTGGAAAGTTCAGGCGTAGATTGCGGCACGGAGCCCGCCCTCATGGTTCGGCCACGCCCATAACCCCGCCCCTATGTCACCGAACCTGCCCCCGACAGGGCGCTTCATTTTAATCCATGCTTCGGCTTCGCAACAAGTTTGATGCAGTATGACTGTGACATTATCGCATAATTTAGAAAAACATAGATGCGCAACGCATCGAAACTGACGATTATCCGTTTAAATTCAAATTACTCTATTTAAACGTATTCATTTCGTAAAATTTACATTTTAAGCACCTTCTAAAAGGTAGTTTATGTATAGCGTTAGTGAATTTAGATAATAAATGCCGTGCAGCGCGCTGATCGTTGTCTTAAACGTGGGTTTATGTATGTTAATTCGCGATAACACACTAATTGTTTAAAAACGAAAGTGCCGAGCTGATCGGCCGCGCTGGTGCCTGTGTCAGTTTGGGGGGCGGGGGTCAGCGATTATGCTAGCAGGATTATGTTAGCATACCATTAGGATCCATTAATTGGAGGAGCTAGGGAGGACACGCTCTCCCGAATGCGCGCCTCCTTGCCCCCTTGCTACACGTAGCACACGCACGACGGGGGGTAAGTTACCTGACGGCCTTATGGAGGCCCGGAGGGGGTGTAACCGTTTCAGTCGACATCAAACACCCACTTCAGGAAAAAAAAACAGAACAAGAACTATCAGGGCAGGACGGAGACACATGCTTATTAACATATTTCCAGTGCAGGCAAAACTTTTCTTCTAATTTGCGCACCGCTTTGTTTGTTGAAGATTTTACTGTTCTGCCGTCGTGATTTGTGGCATGGGCGCACTGGATCACACTCACTGTTTGTTTCATAAATGCCTGAGTGCAGTGGCGGGTCTTATGTCTGGTAGGTCTCCACCCCCCCTCATCCTCTGCTCTCTCACTGCAGATGCGATTTGGTATCGCAGTGGACAGCTGTGGGTCGCCATCACCTTGAGCAAGGTACGTGGGTGGGCCGGTGATGCGGAAGACGAGAGCTGTATGGGGTAAGAGGACAGCAGTGGGAAGGAGGAGTGCCCCCTACAGGTGGACCCGGGCATTTCATTTCCTCAAAACAGACCCGCAGTCTGCAGCCAAAGGGGCCCTTGGCTTGCGGTCACAGTATGCGGCCCATGGCTCTGTGTCCATCAGCCAAGCTCCTTATACAGATATGCATGTGCTGGGTTGTGAGGGGGGGGGGTGTGCAGTGTCACTCTGCCAGGCTTGTGCTCCACAATGTGCTCCCATAATGCACTTTGTTCAGATTTTTGGCGTGAATCCCCAGGTG